ATGAGCAAGTCCAAGGTCACAACCCTGTGACAACTTGGGGGGAAAGCAGATAATTAAATAAGTAATGACTATGCAATGTGGTAACTGCTGTGATGGGGAAAACAGTTTATTAAAAATAGTATCTTAGGCAGTGACTATGTGTCAGATGTTTATATCCACTGTCTTGAATTCTCACAACATCCTGCAAAGGTAGGTGTCTCCCCATTTTCCAAATGAGTGTGCTGTGGCCAAACCACACTGCACACTGCCTCTCTATCAGCGTCAACATCTGCATCATGCTTTACATCTTAATTCCCCATTCTGGTTTCAATATTGCACCTGCTAACCTATATTCAATCATTCAGGCATCCACCAAACTTTGCCTGGTATTATGAAGCATACTTCACACCCTAAGGGAGAAGAAGACCGAAGGAACTTTCAAGCTGGCTATAAGGAGCAATACATGGATGACAGTAACACAAAGCAAGGCTAGAGCATGGCACGGGGCCGTCTGTGGCCATGGACCAAGGAGTGCTTCAGACAGCGAGTCATTCGGCTCCTGGAAGGGAGAAAGCATCAGGGAGGCATTTATTCAGGAGATGGGACCCAGGTCTTAAGATCATGTAAGGTTAGACAGCAGAAAAGGGAAGGAGGCCAGGCCCTCAGGAAAGCAGTGTTCAGAGAGGTGCCCAGAAGGCTCACAGGTTAGGCTGAACCACAGCCAAGGGCGTAACCAGAGCCCGAAGGTGGGACAAGCCAGCCTGCAGCTGCCCCAAGTGCCAACTGATAAGAGATGCCAAGGCACCCTGGAGCGTTAACAAAAAAACGACCCAAGTATAACAGCAGATGGAGAGATCTGCATTTATAAGAACTCCTCCCAGAGACCACTACATGTGATGGAAACCTCCTGGGACAGAGGGTGAGGCCCCAAAGGGCCTCCTGGAGTCAACACAAAAGGTCACCAAACAGCCTGGCAAAGATGATGGTCCATTCACGGTAGGGACTTGCTTCCACTCGGGAAGATGTGCAGGTTCGAGGCCAGAGCAGCATTTATTCAGAGTGAGAGGGGAGAGGCCAAGTGTTGGCGGCAACGGGTCTCCCCATGACCCTTTCCCCACAGGGCCTCTCTTCCCCAAATTGGTAAACAGATACTTAAAAGATTACTGAGTTGCCGGTCAAGTTATTAGCCTGCCTGGAACACCCACATGTCTCAGCATAGTCCTGCAGATGATATCTGCATTTGTTTAACTCTTTACTGTTGATAAAATAGTTTTACATGTGTTAGGTTACTTGATTTTCACTCCAGCCATGAAATAAGCACCAGGCCTCTCATTTTATAGATGAAGAGCCTGAGGGTCAGAGAGGGTAAGTGACCTGTTCAAGGTCACAAAGCTAGCAAGTTGCAGAGCTGATTTTGGATATCTGTCCAGTGATCTGCTCTGTCACTGCTGCAATAATCCTAATACTTTATAACATTCTTAAGAGTTAACAGAGAGCTTTCACAGCAGTCCTGGGCAGTCCATACAGACACACAATAACATACATAGACAGACAGACACGCACACACAGATACACCCACATACTCATCCTCCTACATACATACTCTGTCTCCCTAAAAGTAAAATAATAATAACGATGACAACAATAATAACACTGTATTCCACTTTTTGCAAACCTATCTTTCCTCCTCTAGCTGTGGACTTTGTCTCAGTACATTTATAAGGTAAGTGAGTAGCTATTATTTAGATGACGGCTAAATGTAGTATGCAAATAAAATCTTAAATACTAAAGGCTGGCCTGTGTATAACGCACTGCTTAGAACAAACAAACCTTGCTTTTGTGTTAAATATTGGCCCATTTCCATTTTCTGCCAATAAGCCTCCAGTCCCAATCTTCTCTCAGTGACACATGAAGCAGCACCTTTCCTATTTGTCTATCTTACGTCAGGGCTTGTCTTCAGGAAGTGGCTATTTCCAAGGCATACAGAAAAATCATAGGGCTTGAAAAAAAACTTCAAAAAAACCAACCATGTAACCCATTTTTAGTAAAAAACCAAAAGCTATAGCAGCTAGATGGGCAAGTAGACTTTCATTTTAAAAATTCCCCAACTATCAGTGTTTCAGAACACTTCTTTCAAATCCATAGGTCACAGAAATTAAATTATTCAAGAAACAATGTGTCAATTAGTCTTGCACAGCGGGGAGAAAGTTATACAGAAAGTTATACAGAAAGGTAGATTGAGTCAAAATCAAAGCGAAATGCTAGTGACAAATATGCAAACCATCCCCTAATACAAAAGCAGAGGGATCCTCATCACAAAATAAAGATCACAAACTCCCCCACTCCCTGCACCAGCCACAGGGAGGCCTCATTTATTTTTTTTCTTTCTCATAACTCTATCAAAAGATCTTAATGAAAATAAGGTCAACATACTTAATCTATAAAGCAATCATCTCACCTAATTTTAATCATCTCTTTATAAGAGAATTTATATAATCAGGCCATACTACACAAACAGAATTAAAATATATGTCTTCACTTTTTCCCCCCCCACTTCCAAAGCGACACTTCGTATACCACTCATCTTGCTGAATACCACCGGGATAAAATGATTTAATTCTAGTGAAACCAAACATTTCAACAGCATACTCTTAAATCTTAACCTTAAACATATCCATGAAATACGATTTTTGAGAGCCTTCCTTCTTATTTTAGTAAATCTCCAATATATAGTAAGCAGCTCCTAAGCCAGTGATGTTCTCAGTCAATACTAAACATATACAGAAGTATGCTACTACAGTAACTTTTTAAAAATTGCCTGCAAGATTCTGCACTATTATTTGAACTTATAAAAAATTTTAGTTAAGCTCAACTTTCATAATTCTCATTAGGTAATCTAGGGTGTAGGTCTTTGTGAATTTCCTTTTCATGAAGTAAACGGAAGCTTTGTATCAGGACATCAAGTGTATATGGAAAAATACATATTTTGATACACGTGTAAGTCAACACCTACTTTTTTTTGTTTGTTTAAAGATCCCTTTGCCTACTTTACTCACAATACAAGAACTGCAGTAAAATTCTGTATGTTGAACTTTAATTTAGGTGTGAAAACTGGGTTTTCTGCTAAAATTAGACCAGAACTCAACACACCTTGTCAAATACCCAGTCCAGAGGAAATCAAACTAGCCCATATATGCCCTCAAATAAATCATTCTTAGTTCACCTAGGAACTGGAAGACTTTACACTCAGAATCACAGCTCCATCAGCAATGGAACAGGCTATGCATGCAAATAGCCTATTAGACTCTCACTCATAGATCTGTTAAAAATTTAACATTGGGAATGAAACCAAAGCCACCAGTAACACCAACTGGGTAATTAAATTCCTGGTTCCAGTAAGTTTCAAAATCCAAGCCCAACATCAAGGTCTGGCAAGTCTCCATGTAGGACCTACCAATACTTGTGCATGTTCCCCTGAAAATTCAGAAAGAGGGAAAGCAGGAAGATTGTAAAAGCCTATTAATTGTTGTGTGTTCTCTGTTTAAAAATCACACATCAGAGCTAACTCAAGCTGCAATTATATCTTGGCATTCGCCTCATTGTGTTGGAAGGGCATAAGCTGACAAGAGTTACCGGAGACAGTTCAACCTGTTCTTGTCCAGAGGTCTTGATCAATACACTTTGCATCATAATCTAACCCTGAAATTACCTCTCCACCCCCAGCCCCTTGGAGGAGGTGGTTTATTTCTGGTCTTTAGCCTTGGCTGGGTTAGTAACTCCTCTCTGTAATTTGCACATCTCCTGGAAGGGCGAGGGAGACGCCTGATTCAAGCTGCATTTGTTCACTGCCCACTGCCCCCAATATTCTGCATTCCCACCATCCAGTAGTGTGCGCCTCCTTTACCTTCCAAGTTCCTCGCCGGTGTCGTAGTAATCATCCACGTTTTCCTGCCTGAACACGGTCATGATAAACTGTCACGCCTCACCAAAGCCCAGCGCACTTCAGCTCTGCTTCCCAAACCATCACCACCGCTCCTGCGCCTCCGTGGGCCCCTCATGCATCAGTCTCCCAGTCAAAAAAAAAAAAAAAAAAGGTAATAATACAAATAAAATGACAATCCAAAAGGAAGTAGACCTCCCCAGGACTAAAATCCGCTCGCTTAACCCCACTTCTTCGGGGCTGCTCCTCCCGTCGGGTGGAAAGGAGTACCCTTTGTTAAACCCGGGGCAGGGACCACCCCAGCCTCGCATCGACGGCGCGCGCGTGGGGCCGGGGACAACCACACCCCAAGGTCCGCGTCTGCCAAAGCACCGCTCTCTGCACGGATCAGAACCGGCTCCGGAAGTGACTGGCCTCCCCGCCCCTCCCCCCTTTTCTGCACACACTCCCACCCAGCTCCCCACCTCCAGGGGCGCCGCGCAAGAATGAAGCGCTGGCCCGGGCGGAACGCGCCTCGCTGGAAGCATCCCTCTCCAGCCTGCAGCGGCGGTGCAGCCCCCGCGCCACCTCTCAGCGCCCGCACCTTCGCGGCCGCCCTCTCGCCTCCCTCCAGCCAGGCAGTCCCCAGAGGCACATTCCTGGCGATTCCCGCTCCGTTACCCGGCCGACCCAGCTTGCGGCCGCCCGGGAGAGCAGGGGAGGGAAGGGAGCGGCCGAGGGAGGCGCGGCCGCCTGCCGCTGGTCTCCGCGTCCTGACACAAAGCACCCGGCCCGGCCCGCACCACCTGTTCCCACCCGGCCCGCCGCGGGGCTGGGGGCGCCTCCAGGCTGCGATCCCACTTCTTCCCCGCAGCCAAGTTTCCTGGCCTTGGCCTTCCCGGTGGCCCGAGGCGTTGACGGGGCAAACCCCGCCGCGCCGCGCCGCGACCGCGAAAGCAGAAGCAGGCAGCGGGGCCCGGGAGGATCCGGGGAGCTGCGATCGGCCACTCACCCGGGCGCCCAGGAGCTGCCCGGGTCCCTCCGGAGCGCTGTCGAAGGCCGGCCGCGGGCGCCAGCGCCGGGGAGCAGCCGGGCGGCGGCGCGAGCGCAGGAGGGAGCGAGTCAGGGGCGCGGACCCCGCGCGTCCGCCCGGCGTCAGCTCAGCCGGGCTCTCCCGCTCCGGCTTCGGAGCAGCCCCTCGGTTCCTCTCCGGCTTCCGGGCGGAGGGCGGCCTGTAGGCGACCAATGGGGACCCCGCGGGAGGGCTGGCGGCACGGCCCACCCACCTCAGAGCTGCCGGGCCGGGCTGTCGCTGCGGGTTGTGAGCGGCGCTCGCGGCTCCTCCCTGCTCCGCGCTCGCTGGCGCGCTCTACCGCACACACCCCAGCACACACCCACTCACCCCACACCCACGCCGCCAGGAGACCGAGCGCAGCCGCGCGCAACGTGGGCGCCCCACCTGTGACACGACTCTACGCTGCCCCCTTCGGCTGGGTTCCAGAGAAATGCGATTCCTTAGTCTTGCAAAAGTGAGCACCGGCTGTGTGCCAGGGACTGGGTGTGCTCCGCACTGGGGAATCACCAAGACCAAAATAAATTTTTAAAAAATTCCTGCCCCTGTGAAACTTACATGCTGATGGAGAAGATGTAAACAAATAAATATGATTATTTTAGAAGAGACCAGTGCTATGAAGACAATAAAACAGGATAATGCGATAGAGAATGACGGAGGTTGTGGGTCACATTAGGTATCTGAACTTGAAGAAGGTATGCAACCAGAGAAGAAAGGGTTGAAGTCTCCGAGACCCAATGAAACAACAGAAGCCAAGGGTGTATGTGAGCTGCCCAATACAATGCTGGCTATTGATGAGTTGAAATGTGGCTAGATCCAAATTCGATGCGCAGTAAGTGTGAAATATACATCGGATTCCATGAGTTGATATGGAAATAAGAGTGAAAAATATCTAACGAATATTTTTACATTAATTGCATGTTCAAATATTAGTATTTTGGATATATCGGGTTAAATAAAATATTAAAATTAATTTCACCTTTTACTTTTTTTAAATGAGGCTATTAGAAAATGTAACAGTACCAGTGTGACTTGTGTTATGTTTCTGTGAGTTGAGCTAGTCTACACAGAGAACCCGTATCTAGTGGAGACTTTTTATCCGTTCTCTGCTTTTTGCCCCGTGTTTCCACCAAATCTTTGGGTGTGGAAAACACAAAGGAAGGTTCCCAGTAGAGACTTCTGGAGATCCCCAGAGAAAAGCTCCTACAAGGAAATCTACCTTACTGCCTAGAATTACAAAACTGATGTATGAGACCTCTGAGATTTCAGATCCACAGCATTGTTCAAATCCCCAGATTTTCTAAAATGGAATGATTTAGACACCTGTGATTCAACATAAAATTTCAACCATAGAGATTTTATCTTCTTGAAAAGAAAACGAAAAAAGAATGCCTCTCAGACTTTTTTGTCACACCCTCCTCTTAGAGAGCATTTCGTTTAATGGCCCACAGGAAGGGCACACATTCGTGGTGGAATGGTGGGAAGGTTCTAAATTGAGAGGTGGTATGAACCTAAGTGGTGGGTTGAGAATTAATACAAAAGGATCTTGGGAGGTGAGAAATATGGTCAAAAATAATAAAAAAGTGATTCATCTGGGGATACATCTGTTGGGGGAAAATTAAAACAGATGTTTGGGAGAAACTTGGAAAGTGCTTATGGAGGACTGCATTGTGGGTAATATTTTTCCTGCAAAATAAATGTAAGTGTGTTTTCTAAGGCAATGAAAAGGATTGGCTCCATTTGGGCACTAGCATGTCTTCCCCACCCTATTGGACCTGCTGATCACAGGAGATTTCTGGGGTAATAAAAAATACCTCGGACTCGGGAGTCACAAAATTGAATCTAATATTGGTGGAACCATTTCACAGCTGAGTGACTTTTAATGTGTCATTTCACTTACCGTTGAGCTTCATGTCTGCACTAATCTAGGCAAGCATTTTAGAGAAGGAAAATGTAGTAGCTGAAAAACATGCCCCAAAATTCAATCAAGAAGTGGAGTCTAGTTCTCCTCATGAATAAGAGATGGCCCTTGTAGCTGGCTTCTAAGAAAATGTGGTGAAAGTGGCACAGTGTAATGTTCTTCCAAGGCTAAGTCATAAGGTGTTAGAGCTTCTGCCTGTCTGCTTGTCTGTCTGTCTCTCTCTTGTGTGCACACTCTGGCGTTCTCCACTCACTCTGTAAGTCTTCAGCTGCCATGGTTACCCTGGGGCTGCCATGTGGAGAGACCACAGAAAGAGAGAAGTCCAAGGAAGCCAGCTGGTCCAGCCCTACCCCCAAACCCAGCTATCTGTGTCTTTATAGTCCAAGTTCTATAAGCAGAATAAATTATTGTTACTGGTTTAAGTCATTATTTTGTATAAGCAACAGATAATTTATAAGAAAGTTACAAAGAAAATAAGAAAACTTAACTTGTAATGTGTACCAGGTTCCAGGCTGACTAAATTAGTCTCTTGCTTAATCCTCAACTCTGTAAATTAGTTGTTTTTTCCACTTTATACTTAACCTTCTTGGTCAATAGGGACAATAATAGGCCCTTGCATATTCCTAGGAGTTGTTAGAAGAATCTAAAGAGATAATGCATGGAACAAGGCTCCGTACATTACAAAATACACAGAATGTTGGTATTGTATTTTTTATCATGAACCAAGCAAGAAGGTCTCTAAGAGACATCTCTCAAGTAAAAGACAACAATACAGTAGTCCTGAAATGATGAGATTCAAACTGGAAAGGACTTCCATGAAAATAAATGATTATGATATGGACAATACATTATGATAATCATGGTGATAGCATTTAAAACAGACTCACATATAGAATTTAGAACATTGTTTTATATCCGTTATTAGGGTAAGATACTTATTGCTATAAAACCCAACAAATCTCAGAGGTTTGACACATTAAAGGTTTCTTTCTTGTTCTCAGCACAGTTGTTAGCAGAGGGTGGAGACAGGGCTCCATTCCACATAGTATTCAGGGAACCAGGTTTCTGCTCTCTAATGGATTCATGGTCCCTCAGTCCACCTGAGTTTCTTAGTTGGTCCTTTTAATCTATTGATTGATGAGAGAAGAGATAATCCAAAGAGGGCTGCACTGGAGATTTTTTTTGGTTTGAAGCCTAAGGCTTAATCATTTTTTTTGGACAAGGTGTACTAAGATCAATCAAAGTAGACCACATTAGCTTAATTCGCCTTTGAGTTACTTTTTAATAACATGCCTTTGGCTTTTATTAAGGGCTGATATTCTTAAATGGCCTCATGAAGAATGTTTCTGCACCAGCAGTTTTCCTGTTGAAGATATTGCCCATTATGCAATTGAGTGCCTCTTGTATAGGCAGTCACATGATGAATTCCAGCACTGAGTGCTAAGAGAGCTCACCTCTCCTGACCAACTGATGCTTCTTTTTTGTCAGACAATGAAAATTATAGAGATCCCTCTGCTCTCCATTCCATCCTGGATTCCAGGAAGCATGTGGAGAGCTCAGAAAGTACAGTCCTCCAAGTAATGTCCAATTCACTATGTTCTCTGAGTCAATCAATAAGCATTGATTATCTAGTATGTATTAGATGCTAAGGATGTAGAGATAAAGGAAACATTCACTTTCCTCAAGTAACTCAGTCCAATGAAAGAGACTGATGAACAAAGAGACAATTCCATTAAAGTATGCTTGTGCCAGATATAACCCATTTGCTTCTCTAAATTCACTTTCTACCCTTCTCCACCTTACAAGTCAGTAGGTTGAGCTATAAGATTATTTTAACTAATTTCTTTATCCTCTGGCTCCTAGTCCATTTGTCCAGTGGGGAATTCTGGCATGAGGTCAAGCAGAAAGGAGAACGATGCCAAGATAGTTAGTCTCCGCTTTTCTCTCTGCAAGGTTGCCTGGGTCACTGTCAAACAAAGGTCATTGCTCCTCACCAGGTCACCTCTAATACTTGATTTATTCTGTCCAGGCCTGGTAACTACTCTCCCTCCTTGTCTCTTTGGACCTAGACC